AAATGCATAAGAAAAGCCCTATTATTCTTCCAGAAAATTCTAACATTTGTTTAAGTAAGCAAGTGTAGACTTTTACTATGCATAGTAAAAACTGTATTTACTAACACAACTTGGCTTCTAATACAAGAGTTTTCTTAAAATTTCTAGTCCTTAGGTTCCAAATCTTCAAATGAAGGAAACCGTACTTCTCTCGAGTTGATAGAAAAATCCCAGGAGACCAGTTTTATAAAAGTCTATATAAAACTCAATAGCACATGATAAACCCTTAATAAACATTACTTATAGTCTATTTAAATTTCAAAATATCAAGATTTTTCTGGAGCCTGGAGAGATGGCTCAGTGGTTAATATCATTTGCTATTGTAGGGGACCTGGTTTTGGCTCCCAGCACCTATATGGTAGTGCACAGCCACTTTTAGCTGTGGTTCTAAATGCCCTCTTCTGGCCTTTGAGAGCACTCCATGCACATAGTACATATACATACATGCAGGCAAAAATTCATGCACATTAAGTAAAAATAAATAAATCCTTAAAAAAAGATCTTTCTGGACAAGTACTTGAAGGTATATGATTTGGATGGAGGATGTGTGATCACGCAAAAACAAAGACAGATTCAGGAAGAAGGAAGGAGTTGATTGAGTTTAGATTTTGGTTGAAGAAACTTTAAGGAAAATGATTTAAAAAACCTTTCTGGTATTTCAAAACAATCAAGTACACATAAACATACAGATTTGAATTTCAATTGGGTATCTCCGTTTTTCTGTGAATTTGAAAGGGATAGAAATGCACTGCAACTGATTAAGAAACAAAAGCTACACAGCCCAGTAATATACTTTTCTTAACCTTACAGAAACTTCCCAAAATGTATTTGACATCATACAATATAGTAAAGGACTTTTGGCTTTAGCTATCCTGTGAATAATGGGATATTTTATCATCTAAATTAAGGTAGTTGGGGAGGTAGGTGTAGACAGGGAGCATGGAAAGACCTAGGATAGATACTTAGTAAGAGATACCAGTTCATCCTTGTATTGGCTTTTGAGTCTTGCTCTATCCATTGCTTCTCATTAATATGAATTCTTGGTTATTTTTAAATGTTATATTTCCAGTAAAAAGCTGTATTGGGGCTTTGTTTCACTAGTCTAGGTCTAAACTCCAGTCATGGTTTCCAGAGCAGCAGCAGCAGCAGCAGCAGCAGCAGCAGCAGCATGTAGAGACTATTAGAAATGAACATTCTCAGACCCTAACCCAGAAACATGGTCAGACACTGTGGAGATGCAACTTATTAGCAAGCTCTGAGAATTATCCTGCTGCTTATCAAAGGCTGAAGGCAACTTTCTTAACCAAACCACAGTTTATTCAGTGTCAAAATTCTACCATTTCTTCACTGGAACCTGCCAAATTTGTGGGTTTGCTGACAGGAGGCCTTAATGGAAATTGTCTTAGTCAACCTTATCAATAGTTGCTAAAGGAGCCATCCTTCTGATTCTGTTGAGGCCAGTCCTCTCTGAATAGCAGGACTGAATAGCATTTCACATTTTACTTTTACCTCTTCGTGGAAGAATGTGTACCACTTTCTACTGCCTCAGTAGTAAGAAGTCAATAGCATGCAGAATACAGTACTCAAAAGGCAGGCCAGGAAGACTAAGGAGAAGGTTGATGAACATCTGGGAAGTTTAACTTTGATGACAGAGAGATGCCTGAAGTTTAGAATGATAGTGAGATGGTATCAATAGAAAAGAAATGCCTTAGTCAACATTTGCTCCCTACGACCGTCCTGCATTTTCCTGGCACACACCCTTCCATTACCCCACCCTGACACCACTCTCTTACCGCATACATGCTTTGGAGTTATTTCTGGACAAAAGAAAACAGTTTTTAAAATGAAAAATCACAAATGTCGAGTGAACACAGCTTGTAAACTGGAGTCTCTAGCCTTCTTCCTAGAGGTAGACTTGGACCTACAACTAGGCTAAAAGATATTTTAAGCCTCACTCTCTAACACCAGATGCCATTCACACAAGGGAGTACAATGTGCAGGGTCAAAATGGACTGGAGTAAGACAGAATACCACCCAACCCCAACCTCAGCTCTACCACTCAACAGCTGAGAGAGCTTGGCACATTATTTTACCTTTCTGCACCTGAATCACCATATTTCTAAAATGATAGTAATAGACTCTCTCTCTCTCTCTCTCTCTCTCTCTCTCTCTCTCTCTCTCCTTTGATTCTTAATGAAGATGGAATGAGACCATCCACATAAAGCATTTAGAACTGTGCCTGGCACATATCAAAGGCTGGGTTAATGTGAGTTATTAGGACTATTATTATATTGCCTCTGAAATGCTTCTCAACCTTTAGCACATCTTGAGTATTTCCAAGTAGAGAAATGAGGCAGTGAAAACTCAGAAGGAATAAAGGTGAATGTGTCTGTGAGGGTGGCTCACCTAAAAGGGAGTGAGTGGGAAGGCAGATAGCAACGTGGCAAGTGTTTTGTTACACTACTGTGTAAGGCTACAAGGCTTGTGTTTGAATTGCAGCAGTGATTCTCAACTGGAGTATGGGAGGACCTTGTTCTTCCATGGGCACGGCTACCAACGTTGGGGACATTTGGGGCTGTCATAACTTTGGGTTGCTTCTAATGAGTATCAGGGATGCATAGACAGAAAGAATAATTTATCCTAAATATCCTGATCTTGAGGCCTGAAAAATCATGAATTGCAGCATAACATGAAATGATCTTAATAAGGGAGACTCTGACACTTCGTGGAGAGGAGAATGAGTGACCTTTAAGACTTCTCTGACTCTGCTGGTGTTTGTAGCTAATCCCTAACCTCAAACTTAAGTCAACAGTACATCTCTTTCCACTAAGATCAAATACTATTTTCTACCCCAAAATAAGTTATTAAATATCTGAAGGTTAGCATGAGGTATTAGGTGAAAAGATTCTTGCTAAAACAATAGTGGCACTCAGAGAAATTTAGAGCTGAGAGAATCCTTAGAAATTATCTGGTGACTAGATTGTAGTTGAAATTTTTCATTTCAATTTTCAAAGGTAAAGAAACTGGGACTTAGAGAGGCAAAGGACTTGATCTAAGTCACATAATGCAACAACCATCAAAAAGCCCAGTTTCTTCCAATCAACAGGCGTAATTTCTTAGTTGGACATGGATAATAAATACCAAGACCCTCCTCTGCCTGAATTTGCTTTACCTTGTACTTTACCATGATTATAGTCTGTATCTGTTTCCATCTTTGGAAATATGGGTATCATCTTATAAGGTGGCAGTGGCCACAATAAAAAGGGACAAAATCAGTTGAGAGATATCAAGGGAAAGTAAACTCAGCCAACCAATTACACTGTAGCAACCCCTGATTAAGAAAGAAGAGAAATGAAAGGTGACTTTGGTACCCTGTTTGGATGACTTGGGGTTGGAGGGTCAGCAACATGGGAAACCCAAAGTGCATTTTGGGGTAGCAGGTTGCTTATGATGACTCCAGGTACTGGCCTTTACTCTGTGATGAGGGAGTGAGCAGATCAGGGCAGTGGTGGTGAATCCAAAAGTATAAAGGTGGAAGAAAAGACATTCAGTTTGTGGCTAAGAGGCTGCTGTGGCCCCTATAAGGAGTCACACTGGAAGTAAAATCCAGATAACTTGGGAGAAATGGCAGGTGTTATTGTCCTTGGGGTTCTGGGGTCTCCCTGTTCAGAATAGGCTGGTGAAGGATCCCTCAAGCTCCTAGTAACTACTGACTATGACTAATACATAAAAATAATTATAACAAGTATATTTCCCAGACAAGGAAATGATGCAAACATAAGAGAGAAATTAGGGTCCGGATGCATGAGGAAAAGAAGCATAACACTTACAAATGTTGAGATGCCTAGACAAGCTCATTACTTTTTGCCATTTTTCATACTTAGATATTTCCTCAAAGCTCCCTGTGGCTTGTCCTTTCTCTGACTTTTTCCTTGTTTCTAGGGCACCACATCCATCACCAATGTCATTTCTCTTCCACCTGCTCACCAGCAGTAACCAGCAACCTCCCCTCCCTTGGTCACTGATGCTGATGTCTCTTAGGAAACCAGGCAAACATTCATCAACTGCGCCAAGCCAGGGACACCTACAGATTTATGACCCAGAGAAGTCATCCCATGAGCATGAAGACAGAGAGGGCAAACTTGGATCAGTGTCCTTCTACTGAAACCTGCTTTCCTGCCTTCCATTCATATCAAACCTGTTTCTTTAAAAGCATTCTGTTCTGTTAACATGGATCAACTCGGAAATCAAGCCAAGATCTTTCTCTTAACATTGAGCTCTAAGAAGCCAAGCTCATGCCATGGCTTCACCCCTGCCAGCCAGCACTTCCCTGTATCAACAACCAAATCTTCCAAAGGTAGCCAGCAGCGAACCACATACAATGTGCAAGGCTGGACAAGTGGCAGTTTCAAATGAGACTGGATTCTAGGTAAGGCAGCTGCAGGGTGGTCCCTCCTACCGGCAATGATGGAGAAAGTGGCATCCAGCGTGGCTCACTCACACACTCACGCCTCTCCACATACCACTAACACGTGAAAGACACAAATGTCTTGTCACAGACATACAGGGCACACTCTTGGTCACACATTCAGGATCATCTAGAGTCTACATTGACATCCAGTTACACACAGGGCTATGGACAGATACAAAGTCTAATCAATCAATCAATCAGTCTCTCTAGCTCGCTCGCTCTCTTGCTCTCTCCCTCCCCCCGCCCCCTTTTTCACACACACAACCTCATATAGTCAGTGTACACACATGCGGTTTCACAAGTACTTACAGACACAAGGTGCAGGGCAGGACCTTCAGTGGTCCCACGCTGGAGACAGGTCCTATACTGCCAGCCCGCCCACCCACACTGACGCGTAGCCCGTCCCTGCGACAGAGGCTACTGTTGAGAGTCCGGGACCCTGAAGCCCGCCGCTGGGGCATCCCACCCCGCCCCCTCTCCGCATCCCCACCTGCACAGGTGGACTCCTGGGGTCCGGATGTCCCGGCGCTCTCCTCACTCCTAGCACGTTGCGACTGCCAGAGGCAAGGGGGCGCAGCACCCAGGCAGATCTGAGCCGCCACCCCCAGAACGGAGCCGAGCTCGAGGCACCGCGGCTGCTCTGCGCTCCCGGTTGCTGACTGCGCCCTCGCCGCCGCCCCCTCGGGTGCGGTCTCCAGCCCCCGCTCTAGGGAGCCGGCAGGCGCTGGGGCTGCGGACTGGAGATCCCAGCCTAGGCTCACCTGGGCAAGCACAGCATCGTCCTCCTCCTAGCCGAGCCAGGCTCTCCGGGCTCCACTGCCCTCAGCCCAGGCGTTCCCGCTGTCACAGGGCACCCCCCACAGGGCACTCGGGGGGCTGCCAGGGCCACCGGGTGCCCTGGGGAGTGGGCGCAGAGGCCGTCTGCACAGACCTCACCCTCCCGGCCAGGCCAACAGTGTTCTCCCTAACCTGAACGCTACTCATTCGATGGGGGCGGGGAGCAAGCCCTGGCCTCACTGCAGACTCTCTGGTGACCTTGGCCAAGTCAGTTCACCTCTCTGAGTGCCCACTTCCTCTATTAAGAAACAAGAACGCGTCTGTGGTGCCCGCGCCAGGGGAACTCTTCCCAGAGTAACCCACTTCCCTTTCATGCCTGACTGGCCAGCAAGGTTTGTCAGGGTTTCCAGAAAGAGCTGCGGCACTTCGGAGACAGGATCCCCAGTTCTCCAGAGGTTATGTGTCCATTTGTCTGCTTCCTGAGCAAGTCACTCTTCCTTGTTAGTGCAGTCTGCTTCTTGGTCGGGTTACCCTGTTTTTCCCTCTCTGACCACCTGTGCCCTTGACCATGTGAAGAGGCTGGAGGCCGCCTCAGCGCTCTCATCTGTAAAGTGGGATGTAGATCGACAGTTGTGCTGAGGGTCTCCAAAAGCTCCTGCCTAGATGCCACGTAGAGATCTGCAGCGTCTGTGAGGGACTGTACAGAATAAAATCCATCTTCCCTCAGTATATCTCATGAAAGCCCTGATTCCGAGTATAAAACAATGCAAGAGTTCAATGAGACAGACTAGGTCTCTAGGTCGATTAGGAGAGGGCACAAGCTTTCCTCAACCAAATAAGGGAGGGGCCAAAGGGTCATGGGATGAATAATTCACCCCTCAAGTACCACCAAAGCTGCTTGGAATCCTGCCAAACAGAGAAGCCTTACACAGTGATTAACCTCTGCATTAAAGACATCTTCCAAGATAGACTTCAAAATTAGTAACTGGTGGGAAAAAAATTAGTAACCAATGACAGTGCACTGGAACTGACCTAAGTGATGCTTTTTAGTGCTGGGGATTGAACCCAGAGCCTCACACATATCAGGCAAGCACTCTGCCACAGAGCTACATCCCAGCTATATCCACCCCTTGCTGTTGATTATTTGGCCTTGAGACAGGACCTTATTATATAGCCCAAGCTAGTCTGGATTGAAGTCCTGCATTAGTCACCATAGTGCTGGGATATTCTCTCTCTCTCTCTCTCTCTCTCTCTCTCTCTCTCTCTCTCTCTCGCACATGGGTATGGATGTCAGAGGACAACCTTTGGGGGGGTCCCCTCCACTTGCAGGTGGGCTCTCATTTCTCTCCTTTTGACAGGCTTTGTTTGCCTTGCTCAGCAGCCTGTATCCCCTCCCCTTCAGAATGGAAGGACATGAAGGGCATAACCTACTTTGCTGGCTTTAAAGATGCAAGAAAATGCTGTGATCCAAAGACATATTCTGGAAGTCAGAGAAGCAGAGCCCAGAAAGTCTCCCCTGAAGTTCAGAAAGGATTGCAGCCCTGGAGAAACCTTGATTTTAATACAATGAGAGCTGCATCAAGTTTCTAATCTACAGAATTGTGAGTTAACACTTGTCCTCCTAAGCCATTCCTAAGCCATCAAGCAGTTTGTTGCTGCAGCAATGGATAATTTATACAGTGCTTGTCTCTAGCAGTTATGTATCAATGCCTTCTCTTGTGATTAACAGTGATCAAGGTAGCCCAGACGTCCAGCTGCTTTGCTATACCCAAGCCTTATGTTTCAAGCAATCTTTCTTTCAACACTTCTCTGTGCCCACGTCACAATACCCTTTTCCCCCTTTCTCCTTCTTAACCGATGCTAATTCTATCAAATATCAGAGTCCACTGACTATTTGAAGATGGTCCTTACCTCTCCATCCTTTGGTTCCCCAGAACGTTTTTCTTGCCATTTGTATTTTCTAAGGAGTACTTACATTCTCGCTTTAAATAATGCTCTCTAATGGAGAAGAAGAACAAAATTTAGAGGCAAAGGTTGGAAGTGCTTCTGGCTTTGCTGCCAAACCACTGTGCTCACATTAGTACCTCCACTGCGGCAGCTGCACCCCACTGAGTGAGGGTTATTTGGGAGTTCATACGGCCCACTGAGCGGTGGTCTTTCCTCCCTGCAGGTACTCCCAGCCCCTAGAGCCATGCTAGATACACCACAGGATTCCGTAAAGGGTTTGAAATAGATGGGTGAAGAGAGTAGGTGCAATGTCTAGCTGCCTTGAACAGACACAGCTGCTAGCAAATTCTTGCATCATTTCTATTTAGTTGGTCTGGCCAGCTGACGCGCTTCAGTTAAAGCAGTGTGGTTTTATAAGACCACCTCCCTTCATACCCTGAGGCATAGGCTTGTGTTTTATTTTGTTTTTGATGAAGAAGAAACCCATGATAAAAGGGCTGTCCTTTTATTTAAATCTACTTTTCTTAAGGCTATTCCTGTGAAAGCATTATAAACATACAATTTGGCACAATTCTCCATCTTGAAATGTAGCTTATATATTCAAGGATTAGCCTAAGATGTTTGAATTTTGTAAGAGTGAATGATTGGAAAGGGCTAACAGTCAGGGCTAGCTACATAAACTATGGCAGATTCAGACATTGAATATGGCTTTGTCAAGTGATGTTTATTTTAATAATGATGTTTATGGGTATATTATTTTTATGCTTATTAACTTTTTAAACTAGCATCACGTTTTGGCAATTATGAATAAAGCTGTTAAAAGTGTAAAAGTTTTGTGTTTTAAGTTTTCAGTTCATTTGAGTGACTACAGTATGACTATGTTTAGTTCTATAAGACTAAACAAACTGTCTTCCAACGAGAGGACTTGGTCTACTGAATGAGAGGTCCTGTACGATACTTGGTGTTGTATTGATCACTGTCAATGATTTGTAGTTTGGCCATTTAATAATATGTATTATGGTAAGTAAATAAATAAAAGCTTCAAATTTTAGAGAATATTTTATTATTTTATTTATGTGTATGAGTGTATTGCCTGCATATATGTAAGTGTATCCATGTTATGCAAAGCCCACAGAGGTAAGAAGAGGGTGTCGGATTCCCCTTAGAACTGGAGTTACGGATGGTTGTTAGTCACCATGTGGGTGCTGGGAATGGAACCCAGGTCCTCTGCAAAAGCAACCAGTGTTCTTAACTACTGAGTCATCTCTCCAGCCCCAAAAGTTTCAAATATTTTTAAAAAGTTTTGTCTCCCCAAAGAGAGATATATAAAAATTTGTTAATTACCCAAGTTCTAAGAGAACTGAATCTACAAATAAAATTCATTTCCTTATGGTCAAACAGAGAAAAAAGTCACCAGACTTGAAATACAATCTGGGTCTGTCTTCATTCCCTTGGTTTTTCTATCCTAGGAACTATCTCAATTAACACCTTTGATAGCAGATGTCGAAAACAGCTTCAGGTACATTAAACTAGATACTAGCGTTTTATAGGCCACTGGCAGGCCAGGAGCCAGGATTGGAGGTGTGGGCACCCGGAGAGCTCTAGAGAATCAAGAAAGCAGCAAGTGCAGTGACTGGTTTGTGGACAAGCTCATCAGATCACCTGGTTATCATTCCTAACATGGTAAAGAGCATGACATGTGACCTCAAGGTCCTCTGCTCTTAGGTAGATCACTCCCCTGTGCTCAGGGTCCCTAGATCACAAGCAATAGGCAGAGACAACTATTTGTCTTCATCTTCTCCCACTGGCACCAAAACACACCCAACCGGGAAGGGGAACATTTCCCTGGGAAATTTGGGATGCTGTTAGGATAGTAAAATGGACGCTTGTTGGGGAACCCTGCTGTTTAGGGTCGCAGTCTCTCCATGTCCGGATAGCTGCAAGCCGGCTCGGTGCAAATGGAAAGACTCCTCTTCTCAGCGGGGCGCCTTCTGCTCTCCTTCCTGACTCACCTTTGAAGTAGCCACCACAGATACATGACCTCTGTCATAGGAACTACCAGGTTTTAATCAGGCATTGTCTGACAGTCTGATAGAAGTCCACCGCCACATGTAAATGGGGCATCCTAGGACCACCTATCAGCTAAGGCTTTTGCTACTGCCTCCACACTATAAATCTTCTGGTTTCACCCCAATAAAGCAGAGCTGAATCACTGAATAAAAGGAGCTAAATCACTGAATAAAAGGAGCTGTATCACTGAGTCTGACTGAGCTGTATCCTGTGTCTTACTGCCTACGATTCAGTCTCCCCGGAGGGGGCTATCCTTCCGTCAACAACCACTCACAAAGATCTTGCTTTCGCTGTTCCTGCACCTCCCCTCGGGATCCGGTGGCCAACGGATCTCGTACACAGAGGGAGCATCGGACAGCTTGGAACGGAACCGGCCCAGCAGCTGACAGCGACCTGCAGAGCCACCAGCGTCCGGTAGCCGGGGAGAGCCAGGGACCCGTACAGCTGGCGTAGCAGCTCGCAACCCGCTGCACCACAGCAACAGACGCTGGGAGCTGAGAAGCATGAGTGACCACTACAAGCCCTTGCGATGTACCAGACATCATGCCGCAGGCTCCTGGGCCCTGCCTTTCTTCCAGGAGTCCTCCTCTACAGCTAACTGAGTGAGGCCACAGCAGCAACACCGTGCAGAGAACATGGGAACTTTGACTCTGCTATTTCATTGATAAATTTGACCATATTATGGTTTTTCTAGAGATCATTTCTTCTAGTCTTTCTGTTTTAGATGACTGCATTTCTATACTGGTATGAATATCCTGAGATACACTTGTT